GTTTAAAAGAAAAGAAAACAAAACAAAACAAAACAAAACTGGGGGGTTTTCTACACCAGCATCCTAGGATGCTGTCCCTCCCCCCAACCCTCTTGTTCTGTTAGGACAACTCACAGCTGTAGTTCTTACTCAGGTTCCTGTTCACCAGCCCTTTAATGGCAAGTTACAGTTGTTGCAGGTCAGAGACTGTCAGAGAAGACTGTACATCAGGGCTGTGGACAGATCTTCAGATCCAGAGAAGCTTTGGATGGTTTGGTGTCTGAAGCAGCATGTCTGGATCGAAGCTCTGCCTTTGCTAGGCTTTCCAAAGCAGTTTGCAGTTTCCGAATCACTTTGGAGCCACTTTGGCGCCGCTTCGGAGATCCGGCCAAGTGTATAATAGGGAATCAATGAAATATCTATATCTTTGTTGTTTTTTTGTCTAATTTGGATGAAACTTGCAGGGGTGGTAGCAGGGTGGTAGGGGTGGTAGTTTCAAGAAAATTGGTGCAGGGGATTGGGGGAACTGAACCCCAAATTCTTGAAAGCAAAACTCCTGTCACATCTATGTGTTACAACACAGGGGCAGCAAAACTGCAGAGATGGTGGCTCCTGGTGAGGCCACAAAGCCTGCCAAGTTTCTAGAAGATTGGTGCAGGGGCTTGGGGGGAACAGTACCTGAAGCTGCGGACAAGTAAAACTCAGGACATAGGTGACACTGTGTGTTTTAAGGCGCAGCAGGGTGAAAGCTGCAGGGATGGTGGCCTCTGCTGCAGCCATGAAGCCTGCCAGCTGCCTAGGAGATGGGTGCAGGGGTTATGGCTTCCCGGGGCCAACACCCCTGGCTGCTGACAGGCAAAGCTCAGTGCCATGGCTGCTTACGCAACTGTGTCTGCCTTGTAGTGTGGGAGACACTACTGCAGGCCTGCCTGCTAAGCTACTGTGTTAGCAGTTACCAATCAGTCATGATTCACTGAGGGACCAGCTCAATACACAGTTGCTAGCTAATGTAATCAGTTATTTACCAATAATTAACACCTACAAAACCAGAGCCTAAGGAGAGGAAAGAATCAATACAGATAATCAACTGCCCCAAGACAGACAGACAGTTGCACAAGCATCCACATCATGAGTTTTGTCTGTCAGCAGCTAGGGGTGCAGGCCCCAGAACTTGCTTTGACACTTTACCCCAATGTAATCCTACTCCCCATGTCCCCATGATAATCACCTGCACTGAAGTAAGCACCAATCTGACCATCTTCATCATCTTTGTGACCATTCTGTGACCACCCAGCCAGCTGTGGGGAAATGCAAAAACTTCAACACCTGTACCTCCCACCTGACATGCATCACCACCTCCCTTCTCTGCTGGCACATCCAGATCCATTCCACCTACTTGAAGGATTTAAACAGAAGAGCCTCAGTAGTCTAAATATACATAATGGTGACCCTTTTGCTGAATCCCTTAGTCTACAGCCTGCGGGGGGGGGGAAAAAGAAAAAAGGTAAAGTATGCCTTGAAAAGCACATTGGAAACTTTGCATGCCAATAAACTGAACATATTGTTTGTCACTTAATTTTAACAATAAATTATATTTTAAAAGGGTGAGATTGGATATAGTAACTATAGCTATAATACAGCTTTGCAGTACAGTTTTTGAGAAGCTCTTAAGTTACTCAGGAGCCTAAAGTTAGACTAGAGGCTAGACTGTGAAATAGATATGTAGTCTTTCAAGAGAGCAATAAAAAATAAGGACGTGCCTTCTTCCATCACTACTCTGTGTGCTTTGCTCAAACCCTGGAGTCAAGATGCATAGGAATAAGTCAACTCTGTCTCTTTACTAGCTGTACCTAATCAAAACAAACAAACCACCCTAAACAGGGAAGACAGGCAAAATAAATTCACTTCATAAATCATGTCAATTCTACTGAGATTTCACATGGAAGGAAGAAAAAAACAAACAGGGAAAAGAAATTCTAACAATGTCAATATGTCAATGTTTCTGTATAAAATATTTTGTTTTTTCATTTCAAAATACCTTTTTTCATTTTGAATTTTTAGACTTTGTTTTATTATATATCATGATCAAGTTTTAAAATTAGAATATTTTAGCTTTTATCAAAATGAAGCATTTTGATGAATCTGAAATTATTCTGTGTTTATCTGGATTGCTTTTCATTTTCTTTTATAGGCAATTCTCATTTCAAAATTATCATCATTGAAAATTCAGAAATTTGATTTTTATTTTTAAGAAGTCTAGGGTTTGGTGACAATCACATATTAAAACCTTGAAATTCTTTGTACAAAGGACTCTTCATTTGCTGTACATCTCTGCAACTTATTCTTTTTGTCTCTGGCATAACAGGTCACCAGGGAATGGTCAGAACCTTGGTTCTAACATCATTATCTGATGCAGCTGAAGTGGGATTGAGTACATTGCAAGTTATCATTGGCAGTAAGCCATTACTTCACAGGGAAAGTGTTTGCCTTTGAGGCACTGTGCTTCCTTGACTAAACTTGAAGTGGCACAGTTGACCTACACCTAATACTAATGGCAAAGGCTTTTAGCATTTTCAGCCCTAAGAATAAAAATACTCCAGAGCTGGGGGATCTAGTAACCTAATTATATCTATGCATAAATTAACAACCAAGGCCTTTTAACTGGTCCCTCAGCACTGTTGTTAGGTTTGAGCCCTGAGGTGCAATTTAGGAGACCAGTCCTCACAGGTGAAAAGACCCAGTAGAAATATTCTAATTCAGAAGACAGAAGTTAAGGTGGGCCTTTCCTAGTCAGGAGAAAAATCTGTGTCCTGCTGCAGCAGGTAGGTTCAACAGAATTGAGGATGCATGTCAGGAAGACCAGCCTGGCTGTAGTTATCCTACTTCTCCTGTTTCCCATCCCTGCTTATGGCACACATAGATGACTCATTAACTTTCAGTGAAAAGCTTCTTTGGGGGTTGGGAAACCAGTTTCTGCACAACTTAAAAATGTATGAATTTAGTTCGTATATCAGATGATTCTTATTAGCTATAGACTAAAACAATATAGAGTCACTGGAACTTCCAAGCCACAAATGTCATGATAGAGGTTCCTTAGGTCAAGATTAGACTTTTTGGACAAAAAATGATGAAATAGGAGCTACCCCATCTGAAGACTAGCCTGATGTTTGGACCCTTTCCTCTTTTCTCTACTTGTCGGTGCCAGAATTAGGCTATGGGCTGTTTTTGAGTGGATTGTTCTCTCTGATTTTAATTAGAAATACCACCCTGGACCTAAGGAACTTCCCTGATGGAAAATGTGGTTAAAAACTGGTGTATCCTCATGAAAGGTTTGGTTTCCGTGACTCGGCATGCCCCAAACCTTTTACTAAAACAATCTTAACCAGCTCTGATTTTAAAGCCATGGCTATCAGAGATGGAGCACACTTATTAACAGTCAAATACTTTAGGCAGGAAGAGACCGTTGTGATTTTTCTAGCTGCTGATAACACAAGCTAAAGAATTCAACCCAGTCATTCCTGTGGTAAAGCTGATTTTAATTCTGCACTGCATAACTGATCGCTATTCAGCTCGATATTCTATAGTTAAAATAAACTGCTATTTTAGAAAGATTTTCGGATCTGATACAAATTCTAAATACTGACAACACTTTCTCCTGCCCCAGGGAAAGATTTTGGAAAGTACTCTACATATGTCAGTGCTCATTATATTTAGAGTTCCAAAGTAAGAATTTCAACCTTTAATTTAGGCATCTAAATATGAGTACAGCTCTTTGGAAAAAACTGTCTTATCAGGTGCAATATTTTATTTACTTGTTTCCATCCAGTTACTTTTGGTGTTCCCATTTTAAAGCTCTAGGAAACTGTATTCAACTTGCTTTAACTGGTACCTTCTTCTGCCAAGGTCTGTGTCATAACAGCCTTCCTTCTGCTCCAATAAAGTGAGTCACAAATCTCTGCACAGTCAGGTGAAACAGGTGTCAAGCAGCTGAAAGCAGAGTTGTGGTTATATTGAGCTGGATTGGGAAGGCTGAACCAATATTCAGCTCTATACCACCTATATTAGATTCCATATTCTCATAGTGTAGGTATTAACAGAAATGACAGGTGAGCGCCTGGGGGACCTAACCACTTATTTTCCCTTTTAGACTCCTACAGGACGTCAATAAATACAATGAGCCCTTGGTTGGTAATGTCTATATTTGGTTCCTGAAAACAACATTGAGTATATTTAATGATTTAACTGAGCTTTGAGCTCATCTAACTATTCATTCTCATTGCTTTGTTTGGCCAGTGTCATTGCTGGCTAATCGTTTACTTTGGGGGGCTGGGAGTTCTTTGCTTCTTGAGTGCCACAGCTGTGCTTATTTTCAAAATTAGAAGTAGGATTTTCTAACTGCTAGCCATGGAAATAAATGTTGGCTTTGAAAATTAATTCTTAGTATTTCACTCATCATCATAAAGGTTTTGTTATTGTTTGCCCCCAATGTAAACTCTGTTGCTCAAGCAGATTTACACAGATGTAAATGTCAAATAACTACAGCATAGTGAATAATTCTGCTGATGATGCACAAGAAAAAGAATCTGATGTGCTCACTTTTACATGTTTGTGTTACAGCTCTAACAGTCAGAAATAAAACAGGAAACATTTTTGTTTTCTTACCCAGAAGAGCTGATTCTGGCAGCTGGGGAAGTGAACCCATGTGTAAGAATGTGCAATTTTTACTCTCACTTTCAAACAGTACTGTACTTTAATTCTGACAAATCTGATTGGTCCTTGTTCCAGTTATCCAAACTGTTTTCCCTGCCACTGATACTTTATTGCAATGTGCTGTGTCAAAAAAAGGCAGACACTCTTCATGCTCCAAAGACCTAATACTCTGACCAAAGAGACACCCAGTTAAAAGCTCCAGCATCTAAAACATTTTGGCCTCCTAAAGAAAGATGCTCTCAAGAGAACCTAGTTTCCTGAATCCTATCATCCTTCTGTTCTCGCACACTAGGCACCTATGAATGAAAGAAATGGCAATGACCACCCACACCCAAGTGACTGAATTCATACTTTCAGGGTTAACAGATCAAGCTGAGCTGCAGGCTCCCCTCTTCATGTTGCTCCTAGCTATGTACACTATAACTGTTATAGGAAATCTCAGTATATTCTTCCTGATAACTGTGGATTCCCACCTGCACACTCCTATGTACTTTTTCCTGGCTAGCTTGTCCTTCTTGGATATTTGCTACTCTCCAGTCATCTTCCCCAAGATGCTACAGAACATCCTGTCTGAGAACAAGGCCATTTCGTACAATGGTTGTGCAGCACAAATGCTCTTCTTTGGAGCCTTAGCGACAATGAGTGTTTCCTGCTGGCAGTGATGGCATATGATTGCTATGTAGCCATCTGTAGCCCCCTGCTCTATACAACCATCATGTCCTGCCAAGTCTGTGTCCAGCTAGTGTCTGCTTCTTACCTAGCAGGCTTCATTCACTCTGCAATACACACAGGTTTCACCTTTACTTTGTTGTTCTGTGGGCCCAATGAAATCAATCATTTCTTCTGTGACATCCCTCCACTAATAAAACTTTCCTGCTCTGATACTCATGTCAATGAGATGGTTATGTTTGTAGCCACATTACTTATTTCAGGGGGCTCCAGCCTAACTATCCTTGTCTCTTACGGATACATCCTGGCCACCATTCTGAGGATTCACTCAGCTGAAGGTAGACGCAAAGCCTTCTCCACCTGCACCTCCCACCTGACTTCAGTTTCTATATTTTATGGTAGTATTCTTTGCATGCATCTACAGCCTGCTTCTGGCTACTCCCTGGAGCAAGACCATCTGGCTTCTGTGTTCTATACTCTGGTGATCCCCATGCTGAACCCCCTGATCTACAGCCTAAGAAACAAGGATGTGAAAGATGCCATAAAGAGAGTAATTAGAAACAGAATTTACTGATATGTGTATGCTTTGGAAGAGGGTTTCTCTAATTCACCAATAAGGGGAAGACAACAGTGAAGACAAACATTTGTTGATTGCCTGGTTTTAATTTATGAGAATCCATTACTCCATCTCATTAATAAGGAAAATCAATCCCAAGCTATGGAAGCAATTTATTTATGTAAAAGCCATGTCTTTCTTTAAAGCTTGTGCATGATGTTTCAAACAAGCAGAATAATTTCCCTGTATGATACTTGCATCAAAGATATCAACAGAGGGAAACTTGCATTGGTTAGCTCTGTATCATTACTCTGGATTTATACTAATGAAAGAAAAAAATCAGGCCTGTAGCTCTCACTTCTAAAATTGTAAATCAGAATGAGGTTTGTTGAAGTTAATGAAATAAAACAGAGTGGGAGGAAAACCAGGCTTCTATTTACAAAATGGAATTGCTCTTCCTATAAACATACCAATTATTTTCAGTATTTATTGTCAGCTTCAGTACAAGCTATTCGTAAAAATGCCCCTTTGTTTTTAACAAGTATTCCCTGAGGAAATAGCTAGAAATTATGTCTTCATTTGTCTAACTGCTTTCTCTTTCTCTCCCTTGGTCTCTCTAACTCATACTGTTCTGTTTCTAAATTGTATTTATTTTGGTTTAAAATATCTCTTCTCATTTCATTCATCCTGGTCCTCTCTACACTACCCTGGTATAAACTAGAAACTTCAGCATTACTGTCAAACAAACATCCTGATGTAGGATTTGTGAGATCTACTGGTAGCTGTTTGGAGAACCTGAGGCATCACACTATTGACTTTGCTGCAGCTGACATAATCTGAAAACCAGACCAAGTTATTCCAGTATCTGAAAACACTGTAGCTCTGCAGATGCCTAGGGCTTTGAAAGTCCTCCAACTAGAATGACACTTTCCAAACTACAATGAGAGAGCTTTGGAGTCTTTCACTTCACTAATATACTGTACTATTTATGGGTCAAACTTAAATCCATGTTTAGTTTAAAGCTCATGCTGTTGATTGATGGAAGCCCACCCCATCCTACTGTTTTGCTATCAAATGCGTGTCTGTGTGTTTAAATGACACTTCAGGGGCTGTACTCTTCTAATGTTTGGGTATAAGGCAGCTGCAAAAGCCCTGAGTTATACAAAGCCAGAAATGTCTGCTTGCTTAATCCACAGCAGCTTGCCTTAAAATACAAGGCATTTGGTGTGTGTGCTGCATTTAGCCAGCTTCTGTTTGAAGACGACTTCATCTGAGTCACTCCTGATTCAAACTGGTATAACTGATAAGCAGAATTTAGCCCATTGCACATAGAGCAGCAATAGATATAAACAACTCAGCAAAATAACCTAAATATGTAGCAGAACCCGCAGTATTTTTTTTTCTGTATTTATCTTAAAATGCATTCCCTCCCCTTCCCCAACCATTTCTGACCTTTTCTCTCCCTCTCTTTTCCCTATAGATAAGTATAAGTGAGCTCAGACTTAGGATAAGTTTTAAACATTTTTATTTTGGTAGCAAGTTTTTGGGTATGGATATCCACTATTTTATATTGTATTATTATTAGGTTTGTATTGATTCTTACTGTTGTATATTGTATTATCATTTTCATATTGATTTTTATTGTTTCATAGTTTCATAGTAGCTAGGGTCAGGAGGGACCTGAACAGATCATCTAGCCTGACTTCCTGCCACAGGCAGAAATGAATGCTGGGTTCACAAGACCTCAGACAGGTGATCATCCAATCTCCTCTTGAATTTGCCCAAGGTAAGGGCGAGGACCACTTCCCTGGGAAGTTGGTTCCAGATTTTGGCCACCCTAACTGTAAAATATTGCCTTCTGATCTCTAACCTAAACCTATTCTCCATCAGCTTATTACCATTGTTCCTCGTCACCCCAGGTGGTGCTGGAGAGAAAAGGGCTCTGCCTATTTGCTGTTGATCTCCCCTGATGAGCTTGTAGGTAGCCACCGGGTCCCCCTTCAGCCTCCTCTTGCTGAGGCTGAACAGGTTCAGGTCCTTCAGTCTCTCCTCGTAGGGCCTGTCCTGCTGCTCTCTCACCAAGCAGGTGGCCCTCCTCTGAACCCTCTCCAGGCTGGCCACATCCCTTTTGGATGCATGACAAGGTATGGCTGGCCTTGCTGGCTGCGGTCTGGCATTGGCGGCTCATGTTCATCTTGGAGTCAATAATGACTACAAGATCCCTTTCCGCCTCTGTGCTTTCAAGAAGGGAACTCCCTAGCCTGTATGTATGCTGTGGATTCCTTCTCCCAAGGTGCGGCACCCTGCATTTGTTTACGTTGAACCCCATCCTATTCTCGTCTGCCCACTTTTGTAGTCTGTCTAAATCTAGTTGTAGCCTCTCTCTCCCTTCAAGTGTGTCCACCTCACCCCACATCTTAGTGTCATCAGCAAACTTGGACAGCGTGCTTTCCACCCCCTCATCCAAGTCACTGATGAAGATGTTAAACGGTGTGGGCCCGAGGAGGGATGCTTAATGTTGTCCCAGCTTAATGTTTACTTCACGTTCGTCTTTCATCAGCCCAAGGGGACTGCCTTGCATAGCATGTTGTGTGATGGCTAGGGTGAGGGCACATTTATGCCCAGCATCTGTGTGGACCTTATAAAGGAACACCTTGAGATGCTGGACATCTTCAAGTCAGGTGGTCCTGACAGATTACACCCTAGAGTACTCAAGAAGCTGGCAGGTGTCATAGCTCAACCATTGGCAAAAATATTCAAAAACTCATTGCACTCAGATTCATAGATTCATACTCTTTAATGTCTTCATCAGCGACTTGGACAAGGGAGTGAAGTGTACTCTGTCCAAGTTTGCGGATGACACAAAACTGTGGGGAGAAATTTGGTCCTGACAGATTACACCCTAGAGTACTCAAGAAGCTGGCAGGTGTCATAGCTCAACCATTGGCAAAAATATTCAAAAACTCATTGCACTCAGATTCATAGATTCATACTCTTTAATGTCTTCATCAGCGACTTGGACAAGGGAGTGAAGTGTACTCTGTCCAAGTTTGCGGATGACACAAAACTGTGGGGAGAAATTGACACGCCGGAGGGCAGGAAACAGCTGCAAGCAGACCTGGACAGGTTGGACAAGTGGGCAGAAAACAACAGAATGCAATTCAACAAGGAGAAATGCAGTGTGCTGCACCTAGGGAGGAAAAATGTCTGGCACACCTACAGCCTAGGGAATGACCTGCTGGGTGGCACGGAAGTGGAAAGGGACCTTGGAGTCCTAGTGGACTCCAAGATGAACATGAGTCGGCAGTGTGAC